AACAAAGAAACGATACAAGGAATCAATGAAAGAAAGAGTAGGTTCTTTGAGAAAATTAACAAGATAGACAAACCTTTATCCAACCCAACCAAAAGGCAGAGAGAGAATATGCTAATTAACAAAATCAGAACTGAAAATGGGGACATAACAACAGACACTGGGAAAATCCAGAGAATCATTAGGTCATACTTTGAAAACCTGTACTCCACAAAATTAGAAATATAAAGGAAATTGATTTTCTGGATAGATATCAATTTCCAAAATTAAATCAAGAACAGACAAACAATTTAGATAGACCTTCACCCCTAAAGAAGTAGAAGCAGTCATCAAAAATCTTCCAACCAGAAAAAGCCCAGGGCCAGATGGCTTCAGTGCAGAATTCTACCAGAAGTTCAAGGAACAGCTATTACCAATTCTCCTCAAAGTATTCCACACATTAGAAGCAGAAAGGTCATTGCCAAATTCTTTTTGGAGGCTTCAATAACCTTGATACCCAAGCCACACAAAGACACAACTAAGAAAGAGAACTACAGACCAATATCCCTCTTGAACATTGATGCAAAAATAATAAAATATTGGCAAATCGAATCCAAGAGCACATCAGAAAAATTATACATCATGATCAAGTAGGCTTCATCCCAGGGATACAGGGTTGGTTTAACATATAAAAATTCATCTATGTAATCCACAACATAAACAATCTGGAAAAGAAAAACAACACATGATCATCTCATTAGATGCTGAAAAAGTCTTTGAAAAATATTCAACACCCCTTGATGATAAAGGTCTTGGAGAGATCAGTGGTAACAGGAGCATACGTAAACATAATAAAGGAAATATATGACAGCCAACAGAAAACTCAATGGAGAGAAATTCAAGGTGATTCCTCTAAAATTAGGAATGAGACAATGTTGTCCACTCTCTGTATATCTCTTCAATATTGTACTTGAAGTTCTTGGTAGAGCAATACAAAAACAAAAGGAGATCAAGGGGATACAAATCAGAAAGGAAAAAGTAAAACTTTCACTATTTGCAGGTGATGATGATAGTCTACATAAGTGGCTTGAAGAATTAGACAAGGGAACTCCTACATCTGATAAACAACTTCAGCAAAGTGCTGGATACAATTGCTGCCACTTTAGGGCCCCCAAATAACATGCTGCTGGCTAATGACTAGGATTTCTCATTTGCTAGCTCAGTATTATCAACCATAACTACTCATCTATATGTTTTTATAAGGACTAATCTTACCGTGGACACTGGGCTTATGCGTCTTCTCTTCCTGGGATCACATGGTGACCCTCTCCCTTTCCTACATTTACCAGAATCCTCATTCTCTTCTAGTCCTGCTTCCCTAATGGCTAATAGTGCTTTATTTATCAACCAATAAGACAGACATATACACAGAAGGACCTGCCCCATCATCTCCTCTTTTCTGTCTAAATAAAAAGAAGGGTTTTAACTTTAACATAGTAAAATATATAATAAACCAGTTATCAAGTAAGAACTATAGTTACAATATTTAGCTCATTACATTTAGCAAGATTTTAAAGAAAATATTCTATCAACTGTCCTATGTTTGTGAGTCTAAAGTCTTATATGTAGCTTATCTTTTTTTTCCAATATGAATCTTCCAGGTTTTAATTTGTTTTGTAAAATGATGCAATTAATCTGATACTGAAGAATATATTTCAGAAGAATGCATAGCCATACTATATTAATACCTTATAACAGAAACAAATCATGAAATGAAATAGAAGAATTCATGTTGTATGACAATTGGCCTCATTAACAAAATCCCTATGGTGGGAAGCAAACTGGCAGTTTCCAGAAAGGTTAAACATGCACCAGACTTAGGCTCTAATATTTCTACCCCTAGCTTTTAACCAAAAGTAGCTTATCTTTTATAAGTTCCTCTGTAATGTTGGAGCATTCATCTTCAGCCCCTAGGCCACACTGTGTCTGGCAGACTTCTCAGTGAAGCAGGACATTTTAAACTGTCTGCCTGCATTGGCAGTTTGTCTATCAATTTCCTCTGTGTCCTGCAGAATGGGTGGCAGACTCTTCCATGAAGCAGAAACCCTTCAGAGCTGTCCATCTTGTTTTGTAAGTTCAGCAGTCACTTTCCTGTGGGTCCTGCATGTTCAGTTTATACAGCAACAAACAGTCCTGGCAAGAGCTAATCTTGCCATGTTGAAAGCAAACTCCATAATGAGTTTCTTCAATGCCCATTTTCCTCTTAGATGTAATTATTGTGCCAGGAACAGTTGCGTCTCACTACTATGAAAAAGCCTAAATCATTTAAAATTTCAATATTCTGTAGGTCTTTGAAAGGTTTGAAGAATATCTATCCATCTCAAATATATCTCTGTATATATCTCGAAAACCTAACTAACCTAACTGTAAGTTTTGACTATTATACCTGAGTATATATAATCTGTATTTAATTATGTATTATATTTTAAAAGATATGTATAAACCCAATACCAAACAAGAGGAGATATTTATTTACATATGACAAAATTAACCTTAAATTTGTATCACTAAATGAAAATTCATACCAATGTATTCATTTCTATATCTTATTCCCCTTTTTTCCTTTAGAAAGAGATTGACTGTGATCAATATCATTTATAGCCAACAACATTTAAATGAAAACAAACATTTATAAACAATATTTAGGAATTTGGGCATTGTTCATTCCAAACTCCTTCCTGCTTGTGGGGGCAATGTCCAAACCATAGGGATCAGGATAAAACACAGAAACCTGGCCGTGTCATTGTTTTTGTAGTCTGTAAGCCTTTTTTGTCTCAACTGTTTCAGATGTTGTATCACCTGGGACACTGTTTCAGGGGGTCTTGCTTCATCAAATGATATTATTCTGGAAGGAATCCATAGCTTTACATTTTCTGTGGAAACATAAGCAAAAACTTTTTCCGAAGTAACCTGTCCTTATATTTAGATTTAGAAGTCAAAGCATTTTTAAAATATATAAATTGGATTTATTTAGCAGCACTTATATTCAAATGTCTTTTAGCAGCTGTAGTTCTTTCATTGGCAATCAAACTATTTAAAGGCAACAATATAGCATATAGTATATAGACTCTCTGAGTATTTCATCTTTACTTGGCTTTTTATTATAGTATTTCTTTTACTTCATTTTTTTTTCTGAAACAGGGTTTCTCTGTGGAAATCTTCCTGCCTCTGCTTCTTGAGTTTTGGGATTAAAGGCATGTGTCAGTATACCCAGATACTCATTATTTTATCTCTGAAACTTATGTATTTTTTTCTTTAATGTAAATATATATCTTTTTATAATCACTTGAGTCTCATGTGCCTGCTAACAGCCTCAGATTTGGATGATATATAAATGAGAAAGATGCTCTTAAAAGGAGTCATGGTGGCCTGTCTCTTAAAGCCTGGGAAACATTGCTCATCCAAGAAAATGATGCTATAAAAAAACTTTGCTTGTCTCTATTCTTTTTGTTTCTAAAATCCATTTTTATGTTTTTGTGAAGTTTCTATGTGGAAGTTCATAACACCACATCGGTGCCATTTGTAATGATAACTCTTTCCTCCAGCTTTCTGGGTTCTGCTGCCACTTTGAGGTCTCCAAATAACACATAGAGTCTTATATTAGTTACAATGATGCTGGCCAATGACTAGGATTTCGTATTTTGCTAGGTCAGTATTAATTGTCACCCATAATTACTAATCTATATATTTTTATAAGGACTTACCCTCTCACATACCTACATTTCTCAGAATCCTCCTTCTCTCCTAGTCCTGTCTAACTTGCTTCACTATTGGCCAACAGTGCTTTATTTATCAACCAATAAGACAAACATATACACAGAAGGACCTCCCCCACCAGCTGAGAAAGAAATCAGAGAAACATCCCCCTTTACAATAGCCATAAACAACATAAATTATCTCAGTGTAACTCTAACGAAACAGGTGAAAGACATGCATGGCAAGAGCTTTGAGTATTAAAAAAAGAAATTAAAGAAGATACCAGAAAATGGAAAGATCTCCCATGCGTTGGATAGGTAGGATCAACATAGTAAAAATGACTATCTTACCAAAAGAAATCTGCAGATTCAATGCAATCACAATCAAAATCCCAGCACAATCCTTCACAGACCTTGAAAGGACAATTTACAACTTTATATGGAAAAACAAAAGACCCAGCATAGCCAAAACAACACTGTACACTAAAGGAACTTCTGGAGACATCACCATCCCTGACTTCAAACTCTACTATAGAGCTATAGTAAAAAACAAAACAACAACAAAACAAAAACAAAAACAAAAAAACAAAAAACAAAAACAAAACAGCTTGTTGTTGGCAAAAAATTACACAGGTAGACTAATGGAATTGAAGATTGTCATATTAACCCACACAGCTATGAACACCTGATATTTGACAAAGAATCTAAAACTATACAATGGAAAAACAGCATCTTCAACAAATGGTGCTGGCATACCTGGATGCTGGCATGTAGAAGACTATAGATAGATCGATATCTCTCATCATACACAAAACTTAAGTGCAAGTGGATCAAAGACCTCAACATAAATCCAGCCACATTTAACCTCTTTGAAGAGAAAGTGGGAAGTACCCTTGAATGAATTGCTACAGGAGACCACTTCCTGAAAATAACACCAGTATCACAGACCTTGAGATCGACAATAAATGGTACCTCCTGAACCTGAGAAGCTTTTGTAAGGCAAAGGGCACAGTAAACAAACAAAATGGCAGCCCACAGAATGGGAAAAGATATTCACCAACCCCACAACTGTCAGAGGGATGATCTCCAAATTTTACAATGAAATCAAGAAGCCAGTCTCCAAAACCCCAGATAATCCAATTAAAAAACAGGGTACAGAACTATATAGAGAATTCTACATAGAGGAGTCTAAAATGGCTAATAGACACTTAAGAAAGTGCTTAACATCCTTAGTCATCAGAAATGCAAATCAAAACAACTCTGAGATACCTTTTTTACTCCAATCAGGATGGCTAAAATAAAATAATAATAAAAAAAAACAATACCAGTGATAGTTTATGCTGGAGAGGATGTGGAGAAAGGGGAACATTCCTCCACTGTTGCTGGTTAGCAACTTATACAGCCACTTTGGAAATCATTCTGGGGATTCCACAGGAAAAGCAGTCTCTCACAAGATGCAGCAATTCCAATCTTAAGCATATACCCAAAAGATGCACATTCATACAATAAGGACATCTGTTCAACTATGTTCATAGCAACATTATTTGTAATAGCCAGAATCTGGAAGTAACCTAGATGCCCCTCAACTGAAGATTGGATAGAGAAAATATGGTACATTTACACAATAGAGTACTACTCAGTGGAAAAAACAATGGAATCTTGAAATTTGCTGGCAAATGGATCGCAGTAGAAGAAACCATACTGAGTGAGGTAACCCAGTCAGAAAATACAAACATGATATGTATTGACTCATATATGGATTTTAGACATGGAGCAGGGGAATGCCAGCCTACATTCTCCCTCCCACAGAGTCTGGGATCAGGCAAGACCCTAGGAGAGACATGCATGGTACCCCGGAGAAGTGGAATGGGACAGGATCTCTTGAGCAGTTTGGAAGCCATGGGGGGAGGGAGAGTGAGCTGGGTGAAACAGAGGAGATGGGGGGGAGAGGAGAACATGAAGGAGCAGGAAGGTTGAGTTGGGGGAAGAATAGAGGAGATCATGATGAGAGATACCATAATAAAAAGAGATGTTATAGGTTTGAGGAGAGATCTGGCACTAGTGAGATTTTCAGAGATGTACAAAGATGACACCAACTGGAAATATAGGCAATAGTAGAGATGCTACCTTAAATGCCCTTCCCCAATAATGAGATTGATGTCTACCTTATATGCCATCCTAGAGCGTTCATTGTGTGGCTTGATGGAAGCAGAGGCAGACACCCACAGCTAAACAATGAACTGAATTCCTGGAATCCAGTTGCAGGGAGGGAGGAGTGATGAGCAAATGGGTCAAGACCAGGCTCGTGAAACCCTTATAAATAGCTGACCTGAGCAAGGGGGAGCTCATGTACCCCAGACTGATGGCTGAGAGGCCAGCATTGGACTGATCCAGACCCCATGAACATGGGTGTTGGTGAGGAGGCCTCGGTAATCTATGAGGCCTTGGGTAGTACATCAGTATTTGTTGCTGGTGCAACAAATGTACTTGGGGAGCCCATTCAACATGGAGGGATACTCTCTCAGCTTGAACACATAGGGGAGGGCCTAGGCCCTGCCCTGGATGATATGATAGACTTTGTAGATCTTCCATGGTGGGCCTCACCCTCTCTGGGGTGTGGAGGGGGCATAGAGTGAGGGACTGGGGGGTGTGCTCTCAGGAGTGGGGGAGGAGGGGAGGGAGAGAATCCTGGGATTGACATGTGAAGCAAGTTTGTTTGTAATTTAAATTAAAAAGATGGAAAATGCTATTGATAATTTTAAAGTTAGTCATAAGCATGTGGCATTAGGCCAGTACAACTTTCTCATTCATAAACACAAATTTGAGATATGAATTCATGTACCATAATGTTATCTGCTCTAGTGACTATTCTTGTTTGCCAAAGTGAGGTGAGTACTTTTAGAATTAACTAAAAACCCAACTGGCTGGGTATTCCTGTGAGTGATTATTTTCCTAATCAAACCATTTGAAGTTGGTAGACCCTCTTTTATTCTGGGTCTTTTAAGGTGGGAAGATGTACCTTTTACATGAGCCAGATATTTTTGTGGCAGCCTATACAGGGGCATGGAAGAGGAAGTGCTTATGTCTTACCTGCTTGCCCTTGCTGTTGCTGGAAAGTCCATTCATTCACTGGCATTAAAGTGTACTTCCTCATGGCTCTGGCATATAATGGAGACCGCTGGGACATCTTGTCTATTGAACTGAACAACTATAGAATTATTGTACTATCTGCTGGTAGACAGACATTCTTGGACTAGCTGGACTACAACTTGGACTACAACTTGCCAGCCACTCTAATAATACACCACACACACACACACACACACACACACACACACACACA